TGAGTGATCTCCCCCTGTCCTTATCTTGATCCGTAAGCATTTCATTATATTTTCTCTCCCCTGTCCAGCTGAGGAGGGGACTGACAGAGCGGCTTTGGTGGGCACCTGGCATCCAGCCAGGGTCAACCCACCACACTAACCAACTCTAGAAAGCACCACTTCACATACTTTTCAAAACACCAAACTAACGAAGTAGCATTTGCACAAGAACATTGCATTGTAACTGCAAAAAACATGAGTAAATGTTTTTAGCGTTATTCAAATACAGCACCTACCTTGAATGTTAGGCCATATCCCTACAAGGTAACTTGTGTTATGGGTGAGCTCTCTGAAGAGGGGCTTGCTGTGTTTGTGAGCTAAGGCCTGCTACGTAATCCCCCCCGGCCTTTACAAAACTGCAACTTGGCCTTTGAGCCAAGCGCTGGTTCTGCTTTGACCAACACAGTCCAGATATCCACATGCAAGTTGCACTAAAGGAATAATTTGCCCAAACTACAGCTGATCTTTATCTTTCAGCCTCGTACAATATGCTTTTGGTGGTGTTCTCTGACAATTCCAAGTGGTCAAAACTTCCAAAACTTTCCAAAGTGACCTCTGGTTGTAGTCACCTGCTTTAATACCAAGGATCAGACTTCCCCTAGAACACAACACAGGTAACTCCTCTTGGTAGCAGGGAGCTCACTGCTGTTGAAACCAAACGGCAGGAGCCAGGTTTTTAGAGTACCAAGAAATCTACATTCCCATTTTTAGTTTAAAAGTTTAAATTTTAAAACTTTACCCTAGAGCTTTAAATTGCTACATCCTCCATTAGAGCACACTCCATGAGTCAAAACTTCAGCTTTTTGGGATGTGGCTGCATCAACACTAGACTTGATTAGTCACAATGCTGGAAGCCCTTCATTGCTTGCTGTTTCATGGCCTTTTCCTCAAGTACCTTCCAGTAAGATCTGCTTGCAAATCAGAGGTTAAATGTAGTTCAGACAAGGTCAGACAATCAGTGCATACTGTACTCTTGTAGGGGTTTAGGCTAGTTTCAGGCTTTTTTCCTGTAAACGAATTTCTATTTTAAATAGCTTGATTGAACCTGCATATACGTGTATTTAAACTTCTCTTAAAAGTTTGCCCTCTTAAAACAGAGTTTTGGATTTTATTTCTCTCAGTGGCATAGCAGTTAAAGAGGGGTGAGCACACCCATTTGATGTTATCTGGGGAAGTAAAAAATGAGCATAATGAACACAGCCATGCTGCTCTTCTGTTAATCCACCCTCAACCCCTGCCTACACAACAGCAGCAGAGAGTGCAATATAACTCCTTGCAGCATTCACCCCACTGTGGAAGTAACAAAGGCTTTTGTGCTTTTTGTACTCTCAGATCCTGACAATCCATGGTCAGACATACTCACGCACACTGGTGTTCGGTCTGAGCTTCCCACCACAGCCAGGTTTCTGGCATAGCTTTAATAAACCATCAAATTACCTATTTTGAAAGCAAGATAGGGAGAAGGAAGAGAGACGGTAAGTATGAACTATTTCATGAACTTCGTAAACCAAGAAAACGGGTCACAATTCTGCCCAACCAAGCCCATGATCCTCCTCAAGATGCACAGAAACTGTTCAAAGCATAAATACTCCAGTAATGCCAAGCCTGCACAGTGAGGCAGGTTTATTCTCTCTGTAGGAGCTTAAGGAGGGTCTCACTATGTTGCTTACATTTTGTTTTCATGCACAAGTCTCTGAGATGTATTTATTCCATTCAAATGAAAAAAACAATTTCATGTACTTTAAAAGAAAAAAAGGAGAAAGATGGCAGCACAGAAAGTTTTCTTCATTACAAAGTGTTTTTCCATCAGGCAATTATTTATAAGAACTTTTGTTAACACTGGAGTTTAGGCTCTGGAACAAAGTGGGTATATTGTTTACTAGCTTTGCCAGTCAATCTTCTCTTACAACACCCTTCCCCCTCTCCTTTTCCAGCCAAGTCAGTTCCTTGAATAGCTCAGGAGTTTCCTTTGTCACCAAGATCTCCTTTTCCACAAATTGTCCCTTGAATAATGCCATCTTCAATGTAGTGCCCTGAGGTATCCGTACTCCTGCAGAGAACTGTCGAGGGGATCCTCGATGAGCGTCTGTCCTGACTCTTATCCTCAGAGGAGCAACAAATCATCCTTTTCATGGTACTCCACATCTCATCATCTTTGTATGAATAAATTATGGGATTCATGACAGAGTTCAACAGGGCCAGGAGAAGAAACCACCTTTTAACATTCTGAATCCCACAGTAGGTGCAGTTCAGACCATCGAGCAGTAAGACAACCAGGCCAGGGGTCCAGCATACAACAAAGGCACCTAGAAATAAAGAAGAAGAAAAAAAAAAAAAAAAAGATGACTTCAAACTGCTAGGGGCTTGGGGTTTTTTGCATTTTACAAGATTATTTCATTCATCAAAATTCTACACAAAAATGATAAAAGCAGGAAAAGACAAAGTTCTAATGACAGTAGCAAAATTACATCTACTACAGCTTCTATGCCAAGCCCTGAGCACAAGGCAGGGCAGCTCTCAGAAGGCTGCAGGGAGCAAGAACTCAGCTGCTGAGAGCATCAGCTCAAACACAAGTGGGGAAAGGTCATCACAACAGTGATTTGTCCACGCTGATAGATAAACAAGTGCTCTAGAGCATTAACAAGCAAAGGACAGGCGCTCTTAACGCAGACTTCCTCTCTTCAGCTCTCTCTTGTATGCAGGAGGAGAAGATACCAGGTGGTCCACTTCTACCACTGCCACAACATGATCCAAAGAAGAAACATGTCTTCTGTCGCACTACAGCTGACTGCAGAGCTACAGGCATGCTGCCCAATTCTTAAAACAAGAGTCACATAATTTAAACATGTCCTGGCTGGAAACCCCACAGCTAGCATAGGATGCATGCCATTGTCTGCAACACACGAGTGCCGCTGGCTCCCCAGTCAGAGCAGCAGCCCACCTCTCTCAACTACTCCCTCCCCGGCTGTGCGTGCTGGCTACTTGAGACCCAACAACTTGGATCCAGGAAACAAATTCAGTTGTAAATGAAAAGAGAGAAAGAAACAGATAAGTTAGTAAAGATGAACCAAAGAACGTAGCAGTCAGGGCAAAGAAATGAAGCAAACAACAGAATAAAAAAAAAAAAAAAAAGACAAAAAGTATGAAGAAATAAGAGTGTAGTGATGTGGGAACAAGAAAACTCTGCAAGAGAGGCATTTCCCTAAAACATAGCAAGAAACTGCAGAACAAGGCCAGGAGCAGCAGAGTTCTCCTCGTGTTTCAGCTGTGAGGCAGGAATGACAACGGCCTCCGCGAGGAAGTAGTGAGACACAAGGTGATAATAAAAGCTGAAAGAGACAAAGTAGGACAACACACTCCTCTTCCACCAGGCCTCAAAAAGAAAAAAAAAAAAAAAGAAAAAAAAAAGGGGGAATGAGGGAGAACAGATCTTAGAGTGAAGACAACATGAAGAAAGCATAAAAAACACAGCTTAGAAGGAAGTTCAATACTGCATTTTCATCTTTCAATATTACTGTACAACCCCACCATAAAGGCAGGGGTGTGGGCAGGACTGGTGGGGAGGAGGAACATTGCGACCAAACTCAGCCCTTGGCCATGAGCTTGGGAGGGGCCCTGAGCTGCCCCATCTGCCCTCCTGCCTCCCCCCGGCACCGCAGCCTCTCATCCCGCGCCTTGAGCCCAAGGAAGGAGTAGCCATGTGCATGATAATACTAACTTAGCTCAAGCCACAATTGCTGTCTGACATACAGAAATAGAAAATTACAACTCTGCACAACAGTCGCAGTTTGAACAACGTACTGAGGAAATTCCAATCATTTGTAACAGCAGAGTTTCCCCTTTTTTGGGTTTAGAAAAAAAAAATAATCAAACAAATAAGGATGATAGCAGCTACACACTAAAAAGCTCTCCTGGGGATGTTGGTATCTCTTCAACAATTTTGGTAAGGAAAGCAAGTCGAGCTCCTTTTTTTAAAGCCGCTGGTTTTCCCATACCTGAGCTGTGAAAGCAAGGAGCGGGAGGACAGCCTGGCTCACGGCAGGACCCGGGGAGCACCGGAGCCAGGGCTCGGCGGCACCTCAGGCGTCCCGTCAGCTGAGCTGCGCTGCGCACACGGGTTGGTTTCAGCAGCGGTGGGCGCTTCTCCCCATCGAGGATATTAATGGACACTCTGCCCACCTGATGGACAGGCCATAATTGTATATAAAGTAAATTCATGTGATTTAGTAAGCATTAGGATTGCTGAAAAATGTCTCCACGGCAAGGTACCACAGATCTTGCTGCAAATTATGTTCCTGGAGTCCAGACAAAATTCAAACTGATTTACTATGTTCCTGGCAATATTGTACAGAACAGAAAGGCAAGAGACCACCTCCTTCAGAAACTGCATTTTCTACCCTACCGTACCAAGATTTTTGTGATGCTAAGTACTAATTTCATGGTGTTAGTTTTGAGATACTGGTTAGCATCAGTAACATTCCTCCCTTGCCCGCTGGCATCAGGAGCTGCAAGCTGCTACCACAACACTTGTTTTCTCTGGTCAGTCTCTATACTACACACTGGTTTGGCTCCAGCATGCTGAGTAAGCAGTTATGATACCAACTCTCTCTTACAGTCCACAATGGAGAAAACACTGTACTGATTTATTGCCTTGGGGCTCACCAGTAAATCCCACCCATCTTAACAAGCACTGGAACCAGACCACCCAGACAACAATACTATGTCTACTTGATAGTCTCGGTAAGTATTTGGACAGAGAGCTTTCGTTAGCCACCAAGGGTCACTGGCAAAGTTGCCAGGTCCATGCAGAAATCAAGACAGTAACAAACCTCCTCAGAACAAGCACTGAAAGCATTTTGACCACTTGTACCACAAAGCATGCAAGGCCCAACCCTGCTTTCACGGAAGTCAGCAGGAGGGGAAAGGGACCCCAAAGCCACATTTAACAAAAGACACAGAAATCTCTCCTTCAAACAAAACCCCAAGATTGCAGGCAGGATTAGTCCGTGACCTCCTAGGATATATTCCTGTCTACCTATACAGGCAAAACCCTAAAAGGTTTCAGTGGCAAAAGTAAGGGAAGATAAAAGACATCTGCAAACATCTCTTCACACATTTCCCCTGCACCATGACTGAAGACAAGGACAGGGGGCAATGCAGTGACAGTATCAAAGTTAATAGCTAATGCTTTGATGGGGCTGTTGCTTTGACTCCATCAAAAATACATTTTGCTCTGTATGGAGACAACACAAGCGATTCACACTCTGCTCTTAGCACTGCGGGGATGAAAGCCAGGTATGGTTCAAACTCGCAGCTTGCTCAGATTTTGCAATTTTTACCACAGAGTTTTCAGAAGGAACCATGATTAAGCATAAATATACACCTTTGTCTTAGTCCTTTGGTAATTTTCTTGTTTGCAGGCTTTTTACCCCATAGGAGTTCCTCCCCCTGACAAAGTGCCACATTTCCAAAAGAATTTTATTTCTGGGACTCTCTAAAAGTCACAGAAGTTACATGAAATATAGCCAAGATGCAACATGGATCAGAAGAACAGCTCCGAGTCTTCCCACTGGATTATGGGAGATCAGGCATCACAATGCCTCAAGGTTAGTTTGAGGATTTTCCATTAGATTTAAACATGGATTTCCTTGTAGATTACATCATCTCTGCTTGAAAATGAATTCCTGTGTACCTGGAAGCACTACTGTTGCTTCAGCAGCATCATGTCATAAAATTCTACACATCAAAGCTGTTCCTGAGTATGCCAGCGCTGAGGGGGGGGAAAAAAAAAAAAGTGTAGTAGCTTCCAGTTGCCTTTGCCACATGTGTGCCCAAGTTAAACCAGCAAGTTACCAATTAAACTATAAATTCACTGAAACTGAAAATCATCCACCCCAAAGCTGTTATTTCAGTTCAGGAATCTCACTGCCAAGTGCAGATGAGCTACCATGTACACACCATCTGAAAAATCACATACCCGCACACCTGCAGCCAGCCTTCTTCAAAGCTACAGTCACCAGCTTAGCTAGGACTATGCCACAAGGTCAGCCTAAGAGGATTTTAGCCCCTTTTGCTAGGTTTCACATCTTCCAGTTTCAACCAGATAACTGCCAATGGTTTAGCATGCCAAAGGGAAAGCCTTGCTCCTATCCTGCGACAGAGCATTTTAGGGGTTACAGTAGAAAAATGTAGATGACAGGGACCCGAGTCCCAGCCTCTGGAAGGGGCCATCCAAGCCCAAAGCGTGGTGCAAAAAGCCACCTGCAGCTGTGATCACCATGAGTCCATGAAGTCACACCGAGACCCAGATTCCCCCAACTCTTAACTGTAGGATCACAGGAGGAGAACACCCAGAGCAGACAACAATGTTTTGCTGGAGGGGCAGCCAGCCACAGGCCCAGCCTCCCTCCCCAAGGAAGGAGGTGGAGGCAGTCAGGAAGAGCAGCATGCCAGCAGCACCCAGCTACACGCAGCCTCTTTCCACGGGGCAGTAGGATTTTGTCTTGAACCTCCCTTGAAACCAACAGAGCACATTAACAAGAACTCTGGTTCTCATCATGCTTCATCCAGCAATGGAGCATTTTGGAATCGCTTTTAGTTAAGAGTGTATCAGGCGTGTACTCCAAAATATTTTCAGATGTTTTGGAACAAGCCATTGAAAATAACTGCCTTGGGCAAAATCCACATGCTGCATATAGCTGTAGGTTGTTGCATCAGTGGATGTAAGCAGCATTTTGGAAGAATCACTGGTCACTTCATGACTCCTTTAGTAATTGGAAAGCCAGAAGTGTGCTATTCAGTTTCTAATACATTTTGCACAGCATGCTTGAATGACTTGGCCAGGAATGCACATTTCAAACTGTTTTAAAAAAATATATTCTCATTTCTAGAAATAAACATTTAATAAAAAGCCTCTCGGAGTCAAAGTTTGGAGAACTGATATGAACAAACATGCCAAGATACACTTCTTCTGACACAGGAGTTTGGGGTAGATCTTGTACCCAGCAACACATGCACTAACTCAATTTCTTTGGAAGAAGGCTCTGTTTTGGTTTTGTTTCTGACTGACAAAGTAAATATACAAAATCATGATCTCTAAAGTAGCACTCGGGCTTTCTAAGTTAAATTTGTCTGGGCCAGCATAGAATATCAGTAAATGCTTTGCCCGAGTTAGTTTAAACTGGTGGATGAAAAGCCATATTCTGTGAGTAAGAGAAAGCTGATGCTGATCTTTAAATCAACCCATAGTCCTAAGGCCTCTCTCCCTAGTAAAAGAAAGAACAAGTTGAAAAAGAAGTTTAAAGTGTGGTTTATTTCCATAGAGCAGCATGACCGCGGTGAGCACTGAAGACCTGTCAGAGGCTAAGGGACCACGATGGATTAGCAAACAGCAGCTGCCCTCGCTGCCCTGCCAACATCAGCCGGCCGAGTGCCCTCCCCTGTGCGCAGACCACCTCTCTGCTCTGACCTGCAAGCACACACAGACGGTACCGAGAGCTAACAGTGCTATTCCAACACTCATTCAGCACCCTCCAACTTGGCTTATACAAACACAAAGTAATATTAACTATATAAATATACGTATAAATTAGACAGGGCTATGCATGATGATTTATTTTTAGGTGACTTCCCAGAAAGCAGCCTGCTGTTCTGCCTTCAATAGACATGCTCAGAGAATGGCTTTTTAAAAGCACTTTTCTTTTTGTCTCTTTTCAATGCAGCAGTTAACTAGCCTACCCAATGCTTATGCATTAGTGTAGGATCATATTTGGAGCAATTCAGAGTTTTACTGCAGGGATTTTCTCCTTCCAGGTGGATAGTTTAAGTTTCACTGCACAAGAGCTTCAGGCTGGGCAAAAGATTGAATCTTGCCCCTGCAAGTCAAGGAGGGGACAGGAACAACCATGACTTTGTCTTTCTATAGGTGCCATAAAATCAAAGAGAAAAAAGGAAGGACATCTGGGGAGGGATTTAGAAGGGAAAGGCTCTGGCAGTGGACAAGCCAACTTCAGAATACACAGGAGTATAAGTGAGAACCTTGTACTTGGCTTGAACCATCAGTCCACTTTCTTTTCCAAAGTCAGGCACTGTAAAGTTTAACTGATCTCAGCTTCTAAAGCATTTTAAAACATCATTTGGTAGACAAAGGTGTTGGGTACTACACGACTATTATTTCAGGGGAGGGGGAAAAAAAAAAAAAAATAGAATCGGATACCAGACTGTGCAAACAGCACTCATAGACCACAAGGGGAAGAAAGTGTCCTTAACCTGAACTCCCCACCCTGGCAACTCCTACCTCCATAAAAGTGACACTTTTCTCCCAGAGCTCTCTAGTACTACTATGCTGTAGTACGCCACAACTGTGTCCCAGGCATACATGCACACCAGCTTTCCCAAAAGCTCCTGCTTTCTTGTGCTGGCTCATACAACATCAGAACAGTTGTCAGAGCGGTAAAGCCGTATTTGTGGTTTTAGAGTCCCCCACCACCTGAGCCCAGCTTCACAAGTGTTCCAGCATCCCCCCAGTTCCACCCGCAGCAAGCTGCACGAGCCATGCTCACGTCATGCCTGGCTTCCAGAAAACATCTTGCTCAGATTCAAGTCTTCCTGGGGAAAATTGACTGCTACAGCTAGTATTTAGCTGCCCAAATATCAAGTGTCTCTAAGGTAGAATCCATGTCAAATCTCACATTATGATCTAAAGATCCAAGGCCATACTGTATCATCATCTGAAAGTATTTATGCTATGCAATCTTCACAGAATGAAGGTGAATTCTCCCCTTGCAAAGCAAACGTCTGGCAAAGTCACAGACCCACCAAGCATCCTCTCCTTTCCCCAGGGAAAGTGCATTTCCAGGGGGAAGAAGTCAGTATGTTTAGGAAACAGCCAAGAGGAAAAGGGCCAAAGAAAAATATCCACATTCAGTCATAGTATTCATGGTCTTGTGCAGATATCAAAGAACACTATTTTGAAAATGTACTACTAGGTAGTTGTGAATCGTCACAAGCCTTCCTCCAAAGTGATTTTGTATTTCTGCCCTCCCCCTCCCCAAAAAAAACCTGTAGATAATTTGTGTTTTGTAACAAACTGCCTATGAAATGGAGACACTTTTCTTCTACATGTTGACCAGTCCTCTACTTTGCATTTCTGCGTGGTGCAAGACTTATTTCACTATCTAAAGCAGACAGAGGTCCAAATGCCTCCAGCACTTGAAAGTCTGGTGAGGGTTTTTTTTTGATTTGGTTTGGTTTAGGGCATTGGGGTTTTTTGTTGTTTAAAAAAACCAAACAAACAAGCAAACCCAAACCAACACAAACACACGAACGCATTAATTGGCACTGCCAGCCTGGCACACCATGGTTTGTAGTCTCTTACCTAAGAGAGTCATGACAGTCTTCATAAGCTTCACAGGGGTTCTCCTACGGCTAATGGATCCACTAGTGTGTGATGACAAGACATTCGTTTTCCTCTGGACGTACATGTAGATTCTTATGTAAACCACCACCATAATGAAGAAGACAACTAGGTTTAAGATGCTCCAGAACACCAAGTAACTTCTGCTGTAAATAGGCGCTAGGGATGAGCAGGCAGTGATGTCACAGAGGCAGTTCCAACCCAGAGTAGGAACAGCACCCATGAAAATAGCAATGGCCCAAATTGATATAATTAAAAAGGTGACTCTCTTCTTCGTGAGATTACTGTGGATCTTCATCCGCATTATCGACATGTGCCGCTCAACAGCTATGACGAGGAGGTTCACCAGGGAAGCTGTCAGGCTGGTGTCCAGAAGACCCTGACGCAAAAACCAGCGGTTAACAGTTAATGTCTTAGACACTGGGCCAGTGTTGAACATCAAGAAGACATAGGCAATTCCAGCAAAAAAGTCTGCAGCAGCTAAGTTGGCCAGGAGATAGTAAAAGGGAAAGTGAAACCTCTTGTTCTTGACCACAGCTGCTATGACCAATGAATTTGAAATGAAAATGAAGAGGCAGAAAAATGTCCCAAAACACAGAACAACAATCAGCTTTGGCCCTGTCCACTCATCTACTGTGTCAGTGTTTGTCTTGTTATAGAAAAAGTCCATGCGCTTATCATAGTAGCATTCATTCATCCTGGATTAAAGCCCCTGCATCCTAGGAAGGGCAGAAGGGGAAAAAGAAAGAAGGATTAAAAATCAACTACTGGTCCTTGCTTCAGTCACCATACCTAACAGGGTTTTTTTTGGCGGGGGGG